CGTCCCTTTTTATTTCTAATTGCATGCATATCGTTATTTTTTTTTTAAAGGGGTGCGAGAACGAACCGAAACCTTCCCAAAAGACGTCAAATCCCACCCACCCCCCTCCGCGCGCGTGAGTTTTCTCTCCAGCCCGCCAGGACAAAGGAAGGCAGAACGGAGCCCGACAAACACAGCCCGGCAACCCCTCCCTTCGACACAACAACTCGGGAATAAGTAAAACACACAACTCCCCCCACCCCATCCCGAAGGTTTTTCTTTTGGACGTCCCGCTTAGAAACCTCAACAAAGGAGAACTTAAATAGCGGCGGCGTTCGACAACTCGCATGGCAACGCGATGCGCAACCTGACGCAGTTTTGCGTTTGTCACACACACAAAGAGACACAATAAAGGACTTTGCATGAGTCTCCAGAGACTTTCCCAGCGCGAAAGACTGGAAAAAAACAGCAATGGGTTTTCACAGGTCACGCCTCGACTTACAACCCCCAAAGGAGGCCAAGAGTTTGGCTGCTGAGTGAAACGTTCGCCCCGTCAAATGTTTCCCCATGCAGTGACGTTTCTTGCCACCGTTGCTGAGCGAATCGAGTCAGTGACACCGTCGCTAAGCGAATGGAAAGGAAGTTCACAACCGTCGTAAACCTTGTCAGTGGGCCGAGTTTTAATTTTGACCACGGAATCGGTGGGGATCGGTCGTAAAGTGTGAAAAAAGGGTCACAAGTTCCTTTTTTTTATTCCGTTGTAACTTTGAACGGTTACTAAATGGAACTGTTGTAAGTTGAGGACTGCCTGTATGTAAAGAGCTGCCTTTAATGCAGCGGAAGGGGAGGGGGGAATCTTACAGCAACTTTGACACCTGTGGACTACAACTCCCAGAATTCCTGAGCCAGCCATGCAGGGTTCTGGGAGTTGTAGTTCACAGGCGGTGGAGTTGAGTAGATCCCCAGTGGATCTCCAAAGACGGGAGAGGGGGTGGTGGCGCCTTCTGAAGAGTCCTGCTTTGTCCATGAATGCCGGCTGGGTGACTTTGGGCCAATCGCCAGGAGACGGTGAGTTCTAGTCCCACCTTAGACACTAAAGCCAGTTGGGTGATTTTGGGCCAATCGCCAGGAGACGGTGAGTTCTAGTCCCACCTTAGTCACTAAAGCCAGTTGGGTGATTTTGGGCCAATCACTAGGAGATGGAGAGTTATAGTTTCACCTTAGGCATGAAAGCAGACTGGGTGACTTTGGGCCAATCGCCAGGAGACGGTGAGTTCTAGTCCCACCTTAGACACTAAAGCCAGTTGGGTG